CCATTGTTGTGTGCCCACCTTATTACTAAATTAGGCAGAGCACTCTGAATTGAATCAGGACATAAAGCACGGTCTTTATCTTGCTTTATTGAATACTGTCCATCTGACAACTAGCCACTTAACGGGGCCTCCTTCGGACAACAACATCCGGTTCAAAGGTCATCACATTAAGACATAGCCATATCAATACATGACATCGTGTAGTATGTGTGTATTATAAATGTGTTTTAGGCGCCATAAATGCTAGCTTGGAAGTTGTGGTGGGTTGAGCTAACCCTCTTCCCCACTGTTTGTATTTGGTCGTAGGAGCTGGAGTGGGCAAATGATTTACTTGGAGGCCTTTCTTTCTTTCTTTTACCTTTTTTGATCAGGTATGTCGGATTTCATGTTGTTGTTTTTGTTTTATCTTATATCAAATATGTTACGTGTAAATCCATACTTTATGTTCAACGTAAAAATAAATGCCAGCCCTTTTCTACAATTCCCCTGTGGGAGAGTTATCAGACACAACGCAGGATCACATCAGACTGTCCTTTATCTAAATAAAATTGGGGGTGAGGGTCATGAAATTATTTCTGCGTACCTAATATCACTAACTCCTCTGTGAGATGCTGTTTTTCAGCAGAACCACAACCAGAACTCATAAAGCATGTTTAAGGTAGCAGGAGGTCATTTGTTTTTTTTTTGTTTTTTTTTTAATTTGTCAGAGATGTTTCTTATTTAACCACTCCCCTTCTCCCGTGCCTTTTTGGGTCCCACATTCAAAAACTCAAAACAATCTGTATATAAGTCTGTATTGGGGGCATGTGAGCCCTTTAATCTGTGTTAGAGATATGACCAGTGTTAGAGGAACATCCAGAACCCAGCATGGGAGGACAGACACTGATAAAAATAAACACAAAACTGTCGTCACGAAAACGGTTTTAGTTGTATCCTGCTGCCACCTGCTGGGCTCTTTAAAACACTGCAGCTGAGGGATACGTGACCGTGGACCACAGAGCAGGCTCTGTTTGCGTCTCCGTGTGTACTCGTGTGCGTATTCACGTAAACCCACTGCTTTTCTGCTGCTGGTTAATTTTAAACTTGTGACCTTTGACCCAGATCAAAGCTCAGCAGGTCAAACACGGAGCTCACAAACATGAAGTCCAGAGCAGGAATGTGCGCATGCACAGGTTCAAGTTTACATGTTCCAGCTCGGACGTGCGTGCACTGTCAGGGTCACTGTGCAGATTCGGTGCACTGACCTGCTGGGCTGGTTCTGGGCTGCAACTGGACTCACCTGAGCAGCAGCAGCAGCGGGTCTGAGGAGTAGCGCGGCGGACCTCAGAGAGCAGCTCAACTTCAACATGTTGACAAAGTGTCCGAAACGAGTGGAACTGCAGGAAGAAACTCAGGCAGGACGTGTGCAGATCCTCTATGAGCGTGAGGTCTCACTCCTTAGTACTTCCTTCCGCTCCCTCTCAATGAGATGATTCCTATCAGGGTATTTTTTTAATTCTACTGGTCAGTCCCTGCATAGGAATGGACATTGCACTGACTCTGCCTAATGTCTCTTCTTTCTTACCTGCCCCCTTACTATCCCTGTGTCTGATTGGCCTGATGCACCAAGTCCCTGCTCCAATCCAGCTGCACCACCACCTACTTTACCACCAGCTGGGGTCATTGAATGAGTTACTCAGAAGGCTCCAACCACGCCTGACAGTACCTTTTCAATGTACGTGGAGACACGATGAGGGATTTTACACCCACAGCAATCATTAACACATAGATAACTTGGCTGTAGCTGCTAGCTGCCTCCAGGCTTCTCCACCTACGGAGTAAAGACACAAATAAGACTTAAATACTATCTGGTGACAAATATTTATTGTGAATTGTCTGTGCTAAAAAATAAAATAAGCAAATTAATTAAGGCCAATCTGTAAACACTGTTTTTGCTTTTTGTTTTTTAAATTTGAGGCGGAGTGAGCTCTCCTGTCCTAACGTCTCAGATAGCAGGACATTATGACGTCACGACTTTTAAAACGTTTTCCATTTGGCTGAATTTATGAATTACTTTATTATCACTATTTCACGCGCAGTGTTTGATTTTTGATTGCTTAAAAAGTAAAGTAAATGTTAAGTAAATTATTATTTTTTATTAAACCGGAACATAAACAAACCACTAGCTTTACGTCACGTCCACAGGAGGAAGTTGAAGCAGAGAGGTCGGCTCCTCCGCGTGTGCTGAGTGTCGGTGCGCGTGCGGCCGTCGGGATGCTAAAGGTCCTGCAGGTGTGCGTCCGCCGCCAGCTGTGGAGGAGCGCGTGTTCTTCTGCTGCGGGAGCGCAGAGGGGCTCTGTGGCCGCGGGGGGTCGCGGTCTGAGCCGGCCCGGGGTCCGGACCTGCACCGTAGACCCGAACCTGGAGGAGCAGTTCGTGTTTCTGGACTGCACAGGTGAGCGCGCAGGTGCTACAGGGATTAGAACAGACTCAGCCCAGCAGGTGGTTAGATGTTCTGCAACAGTTTAATGTAGAGATATCTCTGTTTATGTGTATCTCTGTATATGTGTTAAATGTGGAGATATATCTGTTTATGTGTATCTCTGTTTATGTGTTAAATGTGGAGATATATCTGTTTATCAAAGAGAAACACTAAAATCAAGCACCAGCTGACAGTTCAACCTTAACTGGAAAGTTGAACTCTCCGGTTACCTGCCGGAGGTAGGTGTTTATAGTAATAGTCTTTTCTCATTTATTATTATTATTTCTGCTGGATCAGTGAAGGTATTAGCATAGCATTACCTGTCTGTCTTCTGCTATGTTCATATGATCAACAGGTACAGACAGGTACTACTAAGAATCTCTTAATAATGCTTTGAATACTCTTTAAAAGCTTTAGACCCTCCTGCTGTCTGCACACTGAGGTCTGTGGGATCTTCCAGGAGTGGCAATGCTATTTTTTTAGTGGAATGATTGGTTGGTGGTGGTTCTGTAACATAAGCTGCTCTGGAGCAGGTTAGGTGTGCACTCACTGAAAACCGAGCCTTAAAGTTTGCTAAGCCCCAATTCCAGCTTCAGAGGACAGGTGTCTGCAGAGTTGCTGCAAAGGTGTCATGAGTCTATCTTCTTCTCTCCTGGTTCAGATGCAGATGAGGACTCCAGTCAGGAGGAGAAAGAGCTCCTCCATCAGCTGAGTGCCACCACCTCCTCCTCCTCCTCCGCTGCTGCGCCCCGATCATTGGTCGATACTCAGTTGTCCCCGCAGAAACACCTGAGGTCTCTGGAGTGTCAGCTGCAGCTGTTGAGGGATGGCGTCCTGAAGGAGCCGCAGGCAAAGCTGGACTCCCTGATCCAGTTCCATGATGTGGACTTCCCGTTGGACGAGAGCATCGTGGCTGCAAAGAAGAAAAAGAAGGCGTCTGTGGGGAAAGGCGAGCACAAGATCTTCGGCACCCCCGACGTGGACGAGCCGGTCAGCGACACGTGCTGCTCAGGCTGCGGCGCCGTGCTGCACTGCACGGCCGCCGCTGTCCCTGGCTACCTGCCCAGTGAGAAATACAAGGTGCTGGTCCAGGAGGGTCGTCTGAGCGGCGCCACCTGTCAGCGCTGCCACCTGCTCACCCACCACCACAAGGCCCTGAACCTGCAACTGACCAAAGACCAGTACCGGGACGTGGTGCGGCAGATCCGCCCGCACAAGGCTCTGGTGCTGCTCATCGTCGACCTACTCGACGTGCCGGACTCCATCATCCCTGACCTGCCTGAGCTGGTGGGACGCAACAAACACATTGTTGTCCTTGGCAACAAGATCGACCTGCTGCCCGGAGACTCGCCGAACTACATGCAGCGACTCAAGCGGCAGCTCTCTCAGTACTGCAAGGACGCCGGCTTTGGCGATCAGGTGACCGACGTCCACCTGATCAGTGCTAAGACTGGGTACGGCATAGAGGAGCTGATCTCCAGTCTGCAGCGGTCCTGGAAGTACAAAGGCGATGTGTACCTGGTGGGCAGCACCAATGCCGGGAAGTCAACGCTCTTCAACACGCTGCTGGAGTCCGACTACTGCAAATCCAGAGCCTCAAACGTCATCCACAAGGCTACCATCTCACCGTGGCCAGGTCTGCACCAGACTCCATGTACATTTTCCCCAATTTATCGTATCTTTGTTTTCATCCAGACACAGAGAAGTCCCAGAGCATGATGGGAGATGTTTATGAATTTGAAGTGGCTGCTGCTTAATTCAGGTGGAAAAAAAATTCTGTCACAAACAAATCTGTCAGAGATACATTCAAGACAAATGCTACTGGTTTTATATTTTTAGTTAAATCTTCTCTGATCATATTTATTCTTTTGAGTTTCCTGTTTTCCCGTAGAATGATTTAAAGGAGCTTAGTTAACAGTTACTAATGACAGCTGCACCCACGACAGATTGAGTCA